TAGTTTTCTTTTTAGTAAGCAATAGACTGTAATTTTTTTTTTTTTTTTTTTTTTGCACGAAAAATTATATTAATAATAATACAGTCGACTCCCGGGAACCATCAAGGGAAATAGAAAAAAGTTGGAGTCATCGGGAATTTGAGTTATTGAAAGTAAAATTATATTGTTGGTTTTCACATGACGTCACTAAAATTCAAACTACAAAACTATCGACCCTACTGAGATTTTACTTTCATGATTTATTAAAGCAGCTGAAAACTATACTCGTTAAAAGATCTTTTTGTATTTCTTTTGGTCGCAGGAAAAAAAATGGAAATTCTCATTAGAAATATCTAATTCGCCACTTCTAGATAACATGCAAATTCACAACCTCGTCTTTTTCATCCGAAGTTTATATTCCTTTATTTGCTTTTTTTTTTTCCGGAAATTTTACTCCACAGCCAAAGAAATGTGGCAAATTGCGTTAAAACAATGTTTGCTGCCTTACTAAGTTCAACTAAACGAAAAACCCAGGCAGTTATCGAGTCCCTGGCCGGCTCGTGTCATCGTTCAAAGCGTACTCACTAGGTAAGTCTGGCGGTTAAACTTGAAACGTTCATAAATGATAAAGGCACATTCAATGAACCCCTAGAGTCGTATAATCTTGAGTTATTTGTCTGCTGAATTTATTCTTACTTTACCGTCTTAAGCAACTCAGTACTGAAGTGGTCACAAAAAAACTTGGAATTGCAGTTAAAAAAAACAGAGAGTATCAAAAGAAAATAGTCACTACACAACAAATTAATGCAAAATCTTCCGTGGTGATATTAATCACACTGCTAGAATTTCGTTTCGCGCAAGAGAACTCAAAACCAACATAAGAAACACTTAACAGGAATGAATAAAGCTGGTCAACTTCCGTTTATTTCAATGTTCAAAATCAAGAACTCCAGTTCATGATTTAGTGCACATAATTTGTCATGTGTTTGCTCAAAGTGGACGTGCTGAAATACAGTAAATCGTTTCCAGTCCATCTGTGAATGTTTGTGTTTTACGAATGTCAGCTTCCGTATACTTCCTCCGGCTCTTAAGATAAAGACGGAGCTCCTAACAACATTTTCATGAAACATGCAGAACGTTTCAGTGTTTAAAATTTTAGAAAAGAACGCCCGCTTACTAAATTATAATATTATTTCTCGTTGGGTGAAAAAATGCAAATTCAATTCATCTTAAGCTAAAGGCTTCCGCGGTTACTTAAAAACACAAATTAAAACTTGTTGAGCTGAAACTTTAAAAAGATATGTTCATCAGGAAGTAAAAACATTGTCCGAAAAAATTCAAGTTTTCTCAACACAATGGCCAGGCTTGCATAAAAGAAGCTGCTTTGTTACCCAGCTGCATGATCATAGAAAGCGTCGACAGTTCATTATCACGATGGCTCGCTTGATTCTGTTACTTTTGCTGATGGCCCCATTAATTCTTACCTCTTACGCGGACAGTGGGCAAAAGGTAATGTACTTTCAAATACTGCGTTTTTATCAAGACACTTTAGAATGACCTTTTTTCTCAATTAAATGCTCTGGCGTTTTATGTTGTTGCTGAATATTTTATCCTGAGGCCTGTTCGGNCGTGTAAGCTCTTGTTAATTCCACTCAAAATTATTTATTTTTCACGCTGGGTTTCATCACCTTTAGGTGCAGAAAAGTGCAGGTTCTAAAGTGACCATTACGTCTGAGGAAAGTTTCAAGATTGTTGGCAATTTGAGTGACCGCTTGGACCTGAGCGACGAGATGAAGGATCTATGTAAAAAGTTGCCAATTTACCGAATCCGGAAGTTGGAAAAGAAACAGAGTGACGCTGATGAAATGGAAGATTCCATAATAAGTGAAAAAGATCTAATAGATGCAGGAAAAAATTTTGCTAAAGGTAATAAAATGCATGATTCCATAGAAATCATGTTCTTTTTTTTAAAAAATGAACTAGTCAACGGAAAGTTAACGTTTGGATGACCTTGCAAAGGTAAGAACAAAGCAAAAGGCATCTTCTCTGTCGTTGAAGACCCCTTTACACAAAAAACATTTTTTTATTTAAACTAGGTCTAACAAAATAAGAAAACTACGGAAATTTTTTTCATAGTCTTAAGCTGTTTTGTGCTTTCAATGTTAAAACATGGCCACGTCCTCAACAATCCGGGCAGGCGGAAAACGTTAACAAGAATACGCTACTGCGGTCAACATTTGCCAATGACCAGGTCTGCTTATATGTTTATAAATTCAAAAGCAAGGCCAAGGTCCTCACCAATCCGGGCAGTCAAATTCTGTGCTGACTTATTCCCTTCTCACAGATGTCCCTCCGCTATAAAGTTTAAAACAAGACTAGAATGCGCTAGTGTGAATTGATCAAACGTCCTTTTAATTTCTAAGGCTTCCTTTCCGGCAAATAAAATGAACTGAATGTAAAAAGTGAAAGAGAAGTAGCGAAAAATTCAACTTCTTATTAAATCTTTTCTTATGGTTTAGAATAAACTATTCTCGAAACTGAGAATGTTTTGATCAAAGCTGTGTAAATCGAGCTGAAACTGTGCGTGGAACCTTGCGTTTCCTGTATTTATCTCACCTATTGTATGGAATATGTGTGAAAATCTTCCTTATGAATCGGTATATTTCAAAGAGCTAAACAACGAGCAAGAATGCTATTGACCGACAATATACAGAGCGGGGGCAGCTGTAGTGTCAACTATTACTAGTTACATCTATAGCCCTTGAAAAAAGTAAAAAAAGAATGCGATATTGTTTAAATTATTCTGGTACGAGGTTTTTGTTTTGTCCACTGAAAATTAAAGTTCCTCAATTTCTTCATGGATTCCTTCTTAATCTCTGGATTAATGTGGACGATACCTGAAACAGCTTTTTTAAGTGTTAAAAGGTGTGAGGGATATAAGTCGCATCAACACAATGTACCAGGGTTTGATATAATTCAATAACGTTTGGTTCTCTTCTATCTATGAATTAACTTAGTAATTTAAGTTAAGATCTCAGTAGAGATGAAAAAAAAATAAACACGTCTTACTAAAAATTAGTTCCCCACTTCAAAGCTGTTTGTCCGTTTCGCATTTAATTTAATAACCTAAAATAGTTTTAACTCTCCGGTCTTTTCTATTTATAGGTCTCGTAAAGAAATGGGTGTGCAAACAAGTTTGTAAACACGTACGCAAATGCATCAAAGTCCCGGTGAGCGTTAGATGCGGCTGGCGTGGCTGTAAAACTTCCTATCGCCGAAAATGCTACTTACAAAAGATACGGTTCAATTGTCCACTTACCTGCTATTGGGCTTGGACTGTAATTGCTAAATCAGGATAAAGCATGCTTTTACACATTCTTTCTCAATAAGTGGCCGCGTAGAGTGAAACGTAAATATGTAAGGATTTAGATAGATTCATACCCTGTAGACGGTTATTTGCATAAGTAAATTTCGAGAAGATCTTATGACGGTACTAATACACAAGCACAAGATTTTCAAGATGTCACAGAACGTGTAAGGGTTAAAAATAATAACAAGATAATTTAAGAGGAATTTCGAATGGAAATAAAGGTAAATGCCACTTCATGCATGCATAAAGGCCTCCGTGTGTTATTCATACGTGGTGGAGAGGGGTGTGTCAAGGAGTATCGCCCTGTGCTCATCTCATTGTTCAGATACTGGGAAATCTGTTTTATTTCAATCGCCTTTTTTAGGTTTTCACAGAAGAAAAAACATAATATAGCCACCTCATCAAGAAGCTTGGCAAGAGCCATTCAGCCCTTAACTTGGAGACTAAAAAGGAATGTCGACTTTCGTTCGCGCTTAAATGGAAAGCAAACTCTAGCCTAAATTCTTGCTAAGAAAAAAAAAACGGGTTTACTGAAATGGTTGTAACGACTTCATAAGGAAAGGATTCTTTATCACTGATTTAAGGAAAACTTAATTTTCGAACTTTGAGTTTAGTTTTCGCGTGGGATTTGGCGCCAAGACGAACACAGCACGTAAACAGAACGTAATTTCTACTGCTTGCATTTGGTACATTTCACCTTCTCATGATTGGTTGAGCCGCTTTGGGTTTTTATTAACCCATAGAACTTACCTTGGGAACTGTCAAAATCAATACAATAAAGAATTTACCAAGGCGCCTCAACATGAAATGAATTATGTGTCCACTGAAATAGACCTTGTAACGGTTTTGGAAGCCATCTTGACGAGCAGGCAACCGCGTGAGAAATTAGTATAGGTAATAGCATGATTTGTAGGATATTTGGCATAAATACCACGAGTGATATTTCAAAATTGTTATACGTGAAATGTCTCGAGTGGTATTTATGCCAAAAATCACGTGCAACTCATGCTATTATTTGTTTATACTATTACCCGCAAAAGGTATTCACATGTAGGTATATCAGATTAAGCTGAAATACCACTGCTCTAAGCCAATCAAATTGCAGAAATTTCTCATGTAGTAGTATAAACATATTGTAGTTGTATTTTGTAAGTAATGTTATTCTTATTTTTAATTTAGTTTTATTCATTTGTAATTATTTTAATTTTACACGACCACACAGGCTTTGAGCTTTAAACCACATCGTGTTTAAATAAAGGATGTATGTATAACATTATTTAGTCACTAAGTTTCCCAGTTATATGGGCGATATACAGTGGTGTCAAATCCGAATTTTAAGTGCCGGCCCTTTTAACTCGAGACTGCCGCTTTTTAACTTCGCGATAACTTATGTTGATCATCTAAGATCATAAACCAATGTTTATCGTGAAATGGACTTCATTAACGCTAAGTTTCGTTCCTAAATGGTCACCAAAGGAACAAAAATGTCAGGTGATTTTCTTCGCTATTGCAATTTCAAACCACGAAAATTGCCTGTTTTTCTTTGTTTATACTAAACGATCATCGTCGAAACGTTGGACCTATTGGTTAAAAGTTTCTGCTGTCAAAGTATTTACTGAAACTTTAATTAAAGGGAATAGTTTCCACTGATTCAGTTCACAGCCTGTGTGTTTGATTTTCTTAGCACAATTTCCTTCAACGCAGCAGGAAACTGTTGAATTCGCACACAATATATAATTGGATTTAAAAGGGAATTGGAACACGCTGTAAAAACGCCTGTGAAAAAGGCGAAGTATGCGGAATTTACTGAAGTTATGACAAACGTTGATACAAGGAGTCGGAGGCTATTAAGGGTAAATAGCTAAGCATCAAGAAAAATAGTATANAATTCGCACACAATATATAATTGGATTTAAAAGGGAATTGGAACACGCTGTAAAAACGCCTGTGAAAAAGGCGAAGTATGCGGAATTTACTGAAGTTATGACAAACGTTGATACAAGGAGTCGGAGGCTATTAAGGGTAAATAGCTAAGCATCAAGAAAAATAGTATAGTTGTGGTCAGTTTAAAAGCTTTCTTTTCCTTCATGAATTTCTCTCTGACTTCAATCGAAACTTGCTGAGAGGCAATCTCGTTTTCGTGGCGACGCGTTTCAAAGTAAAGCATCACTTGACAAAAGAAAATAGTGGTAATGCATAGAAACATTATACCAGTGTCAACTATAACATAATTATTGTCATCGTTGTCTATGCTATCTGCAGGCACGGTTAACTGTAAAAGAATTGTTATGATCCACAAGACAGCTGAAACACTAATCAAGCGAGTTTCAGTGACTAAGATTTCATATCTCAAAGAATGTTTGATGGCAATGTAGCGTTCTACGTTCACCATAGCCAGGTGAAACAGTGATGCCACACCTAACACTCTTAAGGCCATTCTCGCTAATTGTATTCGTACACAGTACGCACCCAAGAAATGAAAAGTGGCTGACCTATCACTCCCATAACCGCATCAGCAGAAGACAAACAAGCCAGTGCAACGTTAGACTTGGTTTTCACTCGATGTTTAGTTTTTATAGCAATCATGATCAGTGTGTTCAAACCAGTTGTGATGGGACAGGTAATGATGGTTGTGACTGTAATGAAGACGAGCCAGCCGTACGCCTCTCGTGTTGTATGATCAAGAATTCCTAGCGGGATCACTTCACATCCTCGAACGGTCCTCGCGACCTGTGAGGTTGCATTTGAATTAATAACTTCGCTGAGTGTAAATAATAGTATTTCTCTATAACCGGATACGGGTGCGCAGGTAGTAGTGAAATTAGTGCGATCTTGGCGGATTGAATAGTTTAGTTCGAATTGAAGACACACTTATTACTTTGGCACACAAAGAAAGTGTTTGTCATTAAAAAAAGCTTTAAAAGACGATTGGTATCACAATGGTTTAAAGGAAAAAGGAAATGAACAGATTAGCCAAAAGTTGCCAATCATATTGACAACTGAATTAAGGGAATTATTCACGATAAGCTCTTATTAACTTCAGTTATTTAACACCAACCCAGTAATAGTAGTAATAATCCTTTAATCACCGTCTCATTTTAATAACCATTGGTTTGTTTTTGCTTAAATCATTGCTTATATCAAGAACACGAAACGTTTATGCTTATATGAGTTCTCTTTAATAGAGAATTTGCTACAATCACGTTTTAGAGAATTATAAAAAGGAAAGCCGGGGGAATTGTCGAGAATTAAAATTTCGATTTTTTTTTTCACCTCAAATGAATAAAACGAAAACCTTATTGTTTCTCGAGAACTCTTTAATTTTAACAAAATAAACGTTTACGCATCAAGAGAAGAAAAGAAAAAAAAATTCAATTAACTATCAGGACAAAGCCGTCCGTGATGATTTTCTTTTCTTCTATAAAAACACATCCACATTGAAGATCATGGATGATGTAACGTCCTGCACAGAAAAAAGTCCTGCAAAATCATTCAAAATTAAGCGCTGTCATAAAGTTCTGAAAATTACTTTGAATGATGTATCCCTCAAGCCAAGTTCTACTTTAATTTTCTGAACCACAAGTACCAGTCAGAGCTGATGTAAATAAGATATATTTATATTCATAAAAA